TTTACTCCCTCAGCACATAATTTCAGTGTTTTTTAGTTTTCCGGTATTACGGTTTTTCGGTATTACGGTTTTCCGGTATTACGGTTTTTCGGTATTACGGTTTTCCGGTATTACGGTTTTTCGGTATTACGGTTTTTCGGTATATACCGGTATCACGGTATACCGTTTCATACCGGTACCGAATCTAATACCGCAATACCGGTTTCAAATTTCAATACCGTCAACCCTATGTTATACGGTAGCAAAATGTTTTTAGGGGAATTCATATGCAACTGTACTTATAGAATCTCCAACTTAAATTTTTTTGCAATTACACTTTTAGGATTATTTGTTCTATCGTTTTTAAGCGTTCTAGCACAATACGTGTTTTTCCTTAAATTTGATAGGCTAAATTGACGCTGTTATAATATTTATACATAAATAAAGAGTATCCTTTGTATAAATGATCCTCCATTAATTGGTCAATGACACACTCAGAGTGGGGCATATCTGAACTTACATCGGTATCTTGACCAATGTATGTATTAATATTTTTTGTAACAATCCTATTAGTTCAGTAAGCATATACATATAACTTCATATCGTATTTACATCACTTGTTTTTTATATATTGTTTAAAAAGCAACCACTCACGCCATAGAACTCGTCAAGGGATAAATATTTCGATAGTTGATATACGTCTTTCATGTTATTACAATAATTCAAAACTGGTTCGATTTTAAAAATATTATTTTGATTTCAGATTCAGATTCTGGGTTGGTACAAAAATGTAGAATTCTCATTATTATCATGTATCTATTTTTGCGGATACTGGCTCAAAAAAAATTTTAATTCAACAATATGATGTGATTCATTTTTGGTAATTTCAATTTGAAAACACGATTTTTTGAGAAATCAAGTATTTATGTTTAATATAAGAAATAACAAGTAAGAACGAAAGATATATTTTGATTTCACCAAAACATTAAGCATACAAATACTAATATTATTATAAAAAAAAGAAATTCCAAAACTACAAGTTCTCGGTTTTTAAACTCAAAAATAAAATTTTTTGAAAAATCATATATTTTAAAGTTTTTGGAACATAACATCGAACGGAAATTTGAGTGATGTTTTTTGAAAGTACCACTTAAAGTATACAAAAACACACATTTTCAAAACAAAAAAAATTTCAAAAAAATCGCTTGGGAGCTAAACTAGAATTATGCCACCGAGTTATTCATATTATGTATGATAGTGTGGTAAGATATTATTTAGATATATAGATAATTGTATTTTATCGTCAAGATAGCACAGGTACATCACCGCCGTCTGTAATCTGTAGTATACAAATTAAATGTCTAGTTGAATAAGGCTTATTGTGTACCTACCTAATTTAATAATTCACAAAAAAAAAATGTGTGTGAACTATGAATGCTTAATTTTACAATCTTTGAAATGTATAACGGGTTATAATTAAAAATAATCCATATTCTATCCTCCAAAAACATGAATAATCTCAATATCAAAATTATTGTAAGCAAGGTAGGTTAAGCTTCTTATGGATTCTTCATAAACGTATCGGGTGGTAATGGGTCTAACTTGTAAAAACTAAAAAGCCAATCCAAATTATCTGCCACTCGAAGAAAAACGTGTCGAAATGAGTAGCAACTGCCACTGGTTGCGCTGCGGTCGCCAAGCTCCCTTGACACGCGATTATACACACTAGCGTTGGTTTTGTGAACCTCGGCTACATTTCAACGAGTTTAATACGGAAATCACCGAACTCACATTCTCAACCAAACTAAAGTACGGCTACTATTGTCACGTAAATAATTAAGCGAATTTTGTGGTCATGCCGTCGCCGAGTTCATTCGCCGCATCTGGGCTTGACGACGTAAACGACTATGATTTGGATGACCTGGGCAGCACTTTGGATATAGTACACGAGTGAGTGCCGAGTTTTAATTTTTGTTATTATGAATTAAGTTATTGTTAATATACGTAACAAGTATACAATGTTCATAATTTACCTATAAAATTTAAACTATATCCTGATATTCATTGTTGCATGCGACCTTCCACTAATCAACATGATAACAACTTAGTAGATAATGTCAAAACTATGAAGAAATTATATTTTATTTAGGGTTGCCATACGTCCCGGAAAACCGGGACTGTCACCCGTTTTCGACTTTGTGTCCCGGTGTCCCGAAAAATGTTTTCGGGACGCCTATATGTCCCGGTTTTAGGAAAAAATGTTTAGTGTTTAATTTTGACAATTTTTTTTT